GAATTAGGTGCTTAATAAATATTTGTCAAATGGAGTAAGTGCTTTAAGAGGTGAATTGAGTTTTTGTGGTTAGAGTAAGTTAAGAATACCTGGATATACAACATTGAAACCAAACTTTTGGCAGCAGCATACACATAGCTGTACAGCTTGTGGTCTGAGCTCTGCCATAATTTGGTGACATAGGTAAAAGCCCAACTTTATACAATGGAATTTACTTGTGTGCTCTTATTTGATAGTCAGGACTTATAGTAATGTTGGGACTTGTCACTTATATTTAGGAATAAGACATGGAGCAGTTGCTTTGAGTCTTTAGAGTAGACCAGTGGTTTTCAGATGGGTCAGCATCTTCTGAGATCTTGTTAAAGCCTGTATCACTGGGCCCACTGTCTTAGTGTCTGACTCAGTAGGTCTGGATGATGCTCTAGAGTTTGCATTTCTAGAATTCCCAGGTGATGCTTATGCTGCTGATTCAGGGATGACACTTTACTAATTGGTGAGATAGACACACAGTTGGGATGTTGATTTCAACCACAGAAAATTTCATGTACCAATAATAACATGCACATAGAAGATGGGAGTCATAAGGCTGTGCTCAATATTGACCCAGAGTTTTAATTTGCAACCTGAAAATACAGAGTTGTAGGTTTGGGAGTGTGGCTGGGTGGTAGAGCACCTGTTTAACATGAATGAGGTTCTGGGTTTGATCCCCAGTTCCACCAAAAAACAAAACAACAACAGAAGAACAACAGAGTCTATGAATTATAAATATTGCTTAAAAAAACTCACTTGTTGTTAGGAGTGGTGGCACATGCCTACAATCCCAGCTCCTTGGAAGACTGAGGCAGGAGGATTCCAAGTTCAAGGCCAGTTTTGGAAGCCCTGGTTTGACAAAATAAAATAGAAAGGGAGATGTAGCTCAGTGGTAAAGTGCCTCTGGGTTCAATCCCCAACCTCCAGTCCCCCAAAATAAACAGACTAAAAAATCTGAAAACAACAAATGCCCCACAAAACTCATTGTTATGGTTTAGGTATGAGATATCCCCTAGAAGCTCATGCGTGATACAATGCAAGAAAGTTTAGAGGTGAAATTATTGGGTTATGAGAGCCTTAACCAAAACAGTGGATTAATTTCCTGATAGAGGTTAACTGGGTGGTAACTGTAGGCAGGCAGGTAAGGTTTGGCTGGAGGAAGGGGGTCACTGCGTGTGTGCCTTGGGGTTTTTATTTTGTCCCTGTGATGGAGCAGTCTTTCTCTGCTTCCTGGTGGCCACGTCCTGAGCTGATTTCTTCCACCACAACCTTCTGCCATGATATTATGCCTCATCTTGGGCTCAGAGCAATGAAGCTAGCCATCTGTGGACTGAGATCTCTGAAACCATGAGACTAAATAAACTTTCCTCTAAAATTGCTCTTGTCAGGTCTTTTGGTCAGAGTGGCAAAAAACTGACTAAAACAAAAGTGCTTAACCATTTAAAGACTGTAAAATTTTTGTAGGCATCTACTCTTAGAAAGTTCAAATGGTTTTATTATCTAAGTAGTGGTATGAAATTGAAATTTCCTCACTATATCTCAGTTTATTCTTAAAGCTTAGTATAACTTGAAAGAGAAGAGAAAGTGGATAAGTGGAGAAGTGATGGGTTTGTTAATTAATTACAGGCAGCCATAGCAAGACAAATCATTGCTTTGACCTGACATTTTATTTGAGGTTTACTGTGCAGTTTATGGAAGCCATTTTCTTGTTACCTTGAGAGTTATTACTGCCATCAATTTGTTGCTTGATAAACTGAGGCCTGATGAAAGGTTCTGGTCAGGGTTATGCTGCAGAAATTCAGGAGCCTCTGCTCTGGGAAGATCTCAGAAGGCTGGAGTCCTTGGGTTTCTATTTCATTCTTTGACTGCTGTGTTTTGTTTTCTTTATGAAGAACATTGCTTTTGAAGGGCAGGCCCCAAGGGATTGCTTTTTCTACTGCAGGGACAGAAATAAGTTTCTAGCATGCCCTCCTAAGTGTCTGTAAGGTTGTACAGGAATGAACCACCAATGGTTATGACTGGCAGGGGGAGTAGGACATACATTCTTCTGATTTAAGATGGACGACATTTATCGTTTGGGGGAAGTTCAGATTGCTTTTGTTGTCAGGTAAATGATAAAAGATATGACATTGAAAACAAAAGAATTAGATACTGAAAACCACCATTTATGTCACCAAATTTGGTGCTTTAAATAAGAGAAAGGTCCAATGAGGAAGCTCAGAAAGGAATGGACATGTGCCCTCTCTGGATTCAGAGTTGGGGTGTGGAATAATGAGATTGGAATGGCTCGTCTCACTAGTAAGGAAGAGAAGAGAAGAAAGGAAAGGGAAAAAAAATCACGGTTCCTTGGTAATGTAATCATGGAGTCTAATGTAGGATGATTTGCTATTCATTTAGACAAAAGAGACTCTAGTGCTGACTATAAAGTGAGGCCGAATGAGAGTTTTGTTGTAGATCTAACCAAAACCTTCCAGAGCTTGCACTTTTTGAGTTACATGCTCCCTTACATCTCTTCTCTTTTTCCTTCCACACAATCAGGCAGCAGACACTTTCTGAGTGCTTTCTTTGAGCCACACACAATGCTGAGGTTTTCTTTCCACAAGCCTCCTCTCCCGCCTAGGGACTCTTAAACCTTCTCTGAGTTTAAAAAATGAAACAGATCTTATGACTCCTGGAGCTTCTATTTTTAATTTACAATTGTTTTTTGATGACAAGTTACTTGAAAAACCATTATTCATTGATTCCCCTTGGCAAATGCTTGCCACTCTGTCTGACAATGTCCTAGGCACATGGGACAGTGGGGAGATTGATCCCACCTTCTGATCTTGCTTGATCTTACCTTCTGGTGGCAGAGAAGGCCATTCACTGCCTTCATCTGTTTCTATCTCCTTCACTTGCTGTCAGCTGTCTTGCAGGATACCTTCTGCTCCGTGGCTCTTGGACCACATTAAAATGACCTAGTCATCCGTGGATCTTTTCCAGAGTGGATTTTGCTTGATCTCATAGCAGCAATTGACACTGCAGCCTACGCCTCTCTGCTCTCCATTTTCACTTTTGCCTTTTGTGACATTGCATCTCCCTCCTCTATGAATTGGTTTTGGCTGCCCACCCCGACCCCATACACAGCCATTGGATCTCAGCATCTCCCAAGAGCACAGGTTTCAGTTCCTCATGCTTGCTCAGCCCTCCTGGGTCTAGGTTTAGCAGAACATCCCTCCTTCGTCTCCTGTCACACCCAGGCTCCAGCTCTCTTTCTCCTGCTGAGTCTAATTCATTCTTGGCATCCATCAGCCTTCTAGTTCTGTTGGACAAGGCCCCCTTCTTACATTGCCAGTCCTCTGAGGTCTCTCCCTGAATGATGTCGGTGGCTCCTTAGTGGGTATCTCTGCTTCGGGGCTCACTCTCCTTCATTCATCTTGAGAATTTCCACTGGGTAAATTTCCCAGTGCACAGCTCTGCTTGTGTAACCTCCTTGCTGAGGAATCCTTAGTGGTTCCTGCTGCTTCCCAAAGGGAGTCCAGAGTGCTGGGCAAAGGCTCCCCTCGCCTGGCTCCAGCCCATCTTTCAGTGTATCTCTGTCTCCGTTTTCAGCCAGTTCTTCACCTCACTCTTCTGCCCTCTACTGCTTCTATTCCTCCGTCCTTGCTTCCCTTTTCTCCTTCTTCTCCTCTCCTCTCCTCGTTTTCCACCTGTATCCTGCTCCTTTATTTTATTTATATATATTTTTCTTTTATGCTGGGGAACAAACCCTGGGCCTGGCGAATGCTAGACAAGTATAGTGCCCTGAGCCATACCCCAGGCCTCCTCCTTTTTCAGGAGCATCTCAGATCCAGTCTTTTCCATGAAAGTCCCTGATTCCTTGCTAGGCTGCGAGTCATTTTTTCTTCTCTGACTTACCTAACTGTTTATGGGCATTCCTGTGATACCAGGTTGTGGTGTGTTTTGTAATCCCAATGTCTCTTTCATCCTAGAGTGTAGGCCTCCTCTGGGCAGGACAGCCAGACACCTTGCAGCCATTTCAGGCACCTGGCTCATCTCTTATGAGCATTGTTTGGTAAATGTCCACTGGATGGGTAACTAAAGAGTTCATCAGTCATTTATTTTGACAACAGTTAAAGCCTATGCCAGCACTTGGGAAACCAGTCTTTGACCAAATTGGTCCTCTTCCCATTTGTGAATAAAGTCTTACTGCAACATAAACACTCTGAAACATTGACTGTGGTTGGCAAAGCCTCACATAGTTTCTAACTGAATTTTCTTTCTTTTTTTAAAAAAATTTTTTGTAGTTGTAGATGGACAGAATGCCTTTATTTTATTTGTTTATTTTTATGTGGTGATGAGGATCAAACTCAGTGCCTCATGCATGCTAAGCAAGCACTCTACCACTGAGCTACAACCCCAGCCCTCTGACTTTTTTCAGAAGTTTGTCTATTCAGGTTCCATATTGTTGTCCAGACTGCCAAAGCATACAGTGCCAGCTGCAGAAGGATGTTAGGAAACTGTGATTAAACTCTTAGCCTCTTGCTTTGGCTTTCTGACATGTCTGTGTGGACGCCATAATTAGGGTTCTGGGGTGGTGTTGTACTTTATCTAAAGTAAACTGCAATTAATTTTGTGGTAAAAATTTCCAGACAGGTTAACTGGATTTGATCTCTGTTTTTTGACATTAGGGTGGGAATTTGGGAATATGTTTTACACTGTCAGGCTTTATGTAATTAAAATAGCCTCTAAAATACTTTGGTGTTCTCAGTAAAAATATTCAGCAATGGTGTTTGAGCTGTGCCACCAAATGTCAGATTAGAAACCCCCTCTGTTTTGGCCACAGATGTGGCAGATGGCTACGTCCCAGCAGATCCATGTTATTTGCTCTACAGAACCTGGCAGAGGGAGGTGATGCATTTCCAGGGTTTAAAGGGAAAATTTCATGTTTCACGAACCCCCACATGAACAGTGTTTCTTTTTCTCTTCAGAGGGACGCATGGTCATCCAGGACATTCCTGCTGTCACCAGCAGAGGGCACGTGGAGAACGCACCTGACCTGGTTTCAGACTCCACCTACTACAGCAGCTTTTACCAGCCTTCTCTGTTCCCTTACTACAACAATCTGTACAACTATCCGCAGTACTCCATGGCCTTGGCTGCTGATGCCTCTTCTGGGGATGTGGGAGGTCCCCTCGGGGGATCCCCTGTGAAGAACAGCCTTCGGAGCCTTCCAGCACCTTATGTGTCTGGTCAAACAGGAAACCAGTGGCAGGTATGATGTTACCCAGGGAGTCAACTGTATGTGAAAAATACACAAGCACAACGTGCACATAACACACAGGGACTTAAATGTATACATGCACACAGAAACGCACCATGTGCCTGTACATGGTTATACCAGTTTAGCACATAGTGTAGGCTGACATGATATGCAAAACATATACAGAATTTTTCACTCTGCCAATACTGCCATTTAATATTGGCGGTTAGCTGCAAGGAATTACAAAGAAATATGCATATGTTTGGGTTTATTTTAAAATTTTTACTTTGCCCATATTCCTAGTAGGCCCTCATTAGTTGCACACATAGCTTACAGGATGAAGCCCCACCTCCTGCGGCCATGTCCACCATGGTGCATTTTAGAAAATGCGAGGTAAAACCTTGTCTGTGGCAGTAATTTTTCTGATGAGTTTGCACCCTGGGAAGGAAGAGTGTTATAATTTGTATGATTACATGGAAGAAAGGTAAAAAAAGCAATTAGGTAGCTGTTATGCTGGGCCAACTTGGGTACATTTTTTGCTAGGAATGGAGGTCAGTCTTTCATATTCTTAGCACAGTATTTTAATAATACATACTTATCAAGAACTTTTTAGTATTTAGAGTAAAACACAGCATTTTGTTTTACCATGGAAAGAGCTTATCCAGAGCTGTTCTGCTTCCTCGGGTAACCCTTTCCACCATGCCAGTGTATTAGCAGGTTCACGGTGCTGAAAGCACTGAGAGGCTAGAAGACAGTGTATGCATGTGTCCTAGGAACGTATGCACAGAAGAGGTTAGACTGCACCACCAAGACTCCTCCATCCAAGAGAAGTTAGGATTCTGTGAGGCCTGTTCTCATTTTAGATGCATTTACTGTGCTCGAGCTAAGCTGGGGTTTGACTCTGACAAAATGCTGCAACATACATGTTTGGGAGTTAGTGCAAGTTTTTGACTTTCCTTTCTTTTCTTTTTTTTTATTTCCCAGATTTATTGAGGTGTGTTTGACAAACTTGTGTATATTTAAGTTGTTTATGTGATGATTTGAGGTGTTCTAATTGTACGGTGACTGTCACAGTCAGGCTGATTTTTTTTTGTGTATGCGTTGGGGGGGGGGGTAAAAACATTTAACATCTGGTCCTTTGACATTTTTCAAGCACACAGCATTATTGATAGTTACCATGCTATGTATTAGATTTCCAGAACTTTTTCATCTTGTAACTGAAGTGAGCCTTGACCAGCATCTCCCCATTTCTCCCACTCCCAGGCAACCACTGTTTTACTTTTTGCTTCTATGAGTTCAGCTTGTTTTAGGAGTCTTTCATAACCTTTCTCAACTCCCTCCAAAATATATGAATTGAAATTTTCCCTTGAGCAATTCTATTTCATTTTGCCTCTGCCTTTTTTTTGGTGCCTGTGGGGGCTTCTGGGAATTGATCCTAGAGGCGCTTTACCACTGATCCACATTCCCTGATCTTTTTATTTTTTGAGATAGTATCTGCTAAATTGCTGAGGCTGGTCAGGAACTTGTGATCCTTCTGCCTTGCTGGGATTATCAGTGTGTACTATTGTGCTTGGTTTTGCCTTTTTTTTTTTTTTAAGGTGTGGGGGAAGTTGTAATATTCAAGTCACCCCACTTGGATTCTCTTGCTACCTTCAGGGATCTAACTTCTTGGGCAATTAAAGTGTTAGCTTTTAAAATGTCAGCTTTAATCCCCTGAGCTACAAATTTTCAAAAGTTTTTCATACATTTCACTTTTGGAACCTTCCTTTTTTGAAGGGGACTTAAAGCACATTGCTACTAGATTTGAGAGGTAATATGAGCATAAAGGAAATAAGATGATTTATAGAACTTCAAACTGGACCTCTCCAAGCCTGTCAAAATGCAGTTGAAATTTTATGATTTGGGGCAGATTTGGGGTTGATTTCTTTTGGAGACTCTCTTCCCTGAGGGAGAAAGGAGCGTATTAAGGATTAAAAAACAAAACAAAACCCACCTCATCCTGCTGATCCCAGGGATGAGGAGCTGCTATCAGAATATCCTGGTTTTTCTGGCTGCTTCCTGGATTTGAGGATGAAGTAGGTGGGAGGGTCTGTGTGAACCTGTTTGTGAACCTGTTGGCTTGAATGATAAAAGATAATGAAGAATTTTTTTTTTTTGAAAGAAAGAGCCTTCTCAAGATCAACTCTAAAGATCTTTAAAGTCAGAAATCTCCTAAACTAAGGGTCTTTTCCTTGTTGTCAAACCTTTCAGATGGCAGATGTTGCATGACACAGGAATGTATATTCTTAATCTTCCCAGAAAGTCTGAGAAAAAGTGTAACTGAGGTCTTGGATTGTCTTGGAGGTGAGGTCCCTTACACCAAGGTCCACAATCCCGGGACAGTGTGAAGAGACCTGTTCTCTGGAGAGCCAGCCATGCCTGTTGCCATGCCCAGGGAGAGATCCCTGGGGGCATGGTTTGCTGAGAGACAGATTTGACTCAGTGTGTACCTGCTAGCCGGAGTGGGAGGAAGAAGCTCCGCTAAACCTTCTTTGTCCTGTGGGGGATGTGCAATTTTGATACTTAGTGATTCCCGTAGAACTTAACAGGGCTGGAGAGAGGCACCGCAGGTTAGAGTTCCAGGACAGACACTGAGGCACCATTTAAGGAATAGTTTGTTTTCCCAGAGAACCAGGTTTAAGTTTTCTTAGTTCCTAGCCAGTCACAGTCATTGATTGTTTCTCATATAACAAGTTATTTTTCAGCAGTAGATTCTTCTGTCCTGCTGTGGTTGCTGTCCTACTGTGGTTGTTACACGTTCTTAGTTAATAATAGCATCAGTTTATTGAGAACCATCGTTTATTGAGCAGGTGAGGACATTGAAACTCAGGACAGACTTACCTGAGTCACACAGGGACTAATTGGAAGAATCCGGGTTTGAATCTGGGCCTGTCTGGCTCCAAAGTATGGCAGCACTATCTGGTCATCACTGGGTCTGCAGCAAACTCAGGTCTACATGACTGCCTCCCAGCTGCCCTCTGGAAACTCAGACCTCCAGGGAACGTGCAGAATGTCTCCTCAGGTGAACCTTAACTGTGGGATGGATTTAGTACGAATATTGAGGCCCTTTCTAGTTCTTTAGGGCTTGGAATTGCTACCTTTTGTTTGTTTGTTTATTTTTTATTTATGTATGTATGTATTTATTTATGTGGTGCCGGGGATTGAACCCAATGCCTCATGCATGCTAGGCAAGCGCTCTACCACTGAACCACACCCCCGGCCCCTGGAATTGCTACCTTTTATTTTCCATTGGAGATATTTTCTTCACTTGTGGAGGTCGGAAGTATGTAGAAATTTTTAGAATAGGGCTGATGGATGATTACGACACAGAAGTTGAGGATAGAGCCCTTATACTTTTCTAAAATATGCAGTCTTGGATGTCAGTATTTAAAATATGCTGAATTCCTTAACTATTAAAAGTAACTATTTTGAAGTTACTTTTGAGATCTGCATACTAATTTTCCGTGAATGTGATTATAACTAAAGCACATTTGAGTCCACTCACAAGAGTGTGTATAGCATAAAAATGATCCCCACAGTTTGGATGAAGGGACTCTACCATATGACCTGTTCCCTCATAATTTGACATTTTATGAGTTTGTGGATCAATCTTGTAACCAAAGGAAACCACAGACTTGACTTACAGTTTTTTTTCAGTCATGCCCACAAAAGTCAGTTCCACTGAAAAATAAACTTAAAAATACAAGAGCCAGTGTAGATGTAATCCAGGAATTATAAAATGACTGTTGATAATCAGAGCAGCAGTGAGTAGAGTCGAAATGGTTGCTAAAGAGTTCTGGTCTACCCCTGTTCAGACAAAACTGGGGTCTAGAGCTGATGGGATCACAGCTAGTGATCACCAGGTCTGCTGATTTGGAGGAATGTTTCGTGCTTTAAGGAACCTGGGGTTTAGCACTGGAAGATCCATGCTTGCTTCTAACTTGTGATTGAGCTATGTCACTGGGAGCAAAATACTTTATCCTCCAAATCTCAGGGTTTTTATCTGTAAAGTGAGTATGGTGTCATCTGTGTAGGACTGTTGTATACATAAGGTCATGTGATAGTTGAAGGGAGATGATTAGCCCATGTGAGTTTCTGTATAAATCCCAAAGTGCTATGCTGATACTAACTGCAGTGAATCTATTTCACTTATTATTTTCAATTGACCTTGCTTTCTAAAATCTGCTTAATTTTTCTCCATTTCTTCATATGTATTCTAGTTAGCTGCCTTGGGAGCCCCTCCTAACAAGATAGGGTATACATAGTGCACAATTCAACTATTATTGAGACTGTGACATGTGAATATGGACCAAGTACAAATGTATATGGAATGATTTTTGTATCTTGGGGAAGATTTGATCCAATTATAAAACAAAACTTGAAAGCATTAAAGTTATTATAAAGTTCAAAGTATGTTAAGAACTATTACATAGTAAAAACCTATAATATTTTTAGCTAATGTTAAAGGGATAGAAATGGGCAGCTCATTTTGTAACTAGATTTGTCTTTATTCCAGAGAACAGGAATCGAGATGGGTGAGAGTCCCTCACCATGCTGTGTGTTTCCAGAACATGCTAGGACTAGGCTCTTTAGACAGTGCCATGTCCCTCCTGGTGGAATTTTCCCAGGGATGGGCGAGTATGGTCAACTGTGGCAGCTGCCCTACTTTTCTCTCTCCTTTTGAGGATGATGCTCTTCAGCTGCGTTTGGGAGCCTTGTGCTCTCTGTTGCCTGATGCCCTTCTCCCACCCAGACTTGGCCCAGGGGTCCAAATCAGATGCCAGATCTCTTGCATTTATCTTCTTAACTTTATTGCCAAGACTTAACTTCTCTCCTCTTTGTGGGGTGGATTCTTCCTTTTGTACATTGTCCCCCATCCTTTGCTGCTTCGAGGGCTGGTGTTGCTGGGGGAGTAGTGTGACTGTTTCTGAAGCAGGAGCTACTTTGTGATTACAACCCTGGAGTGGAGATCA